TGGAGGAAGACTGACAATCAACCTGTGATATGGCAGATGACACAACTTTGTTGGACGTGAAAAGGGCTTAAAATATTTACTGCTGAAAATCAAAGACTACAGCCTTCAGTATGGATTGCGCCTCACTGTAAGTGATAGGATTAATAAATACACAGAAAATACACAATTGCATTAATAAATACACAGAAAAACAGAAGATTGAAGTTTTCAAAGACTTCATTTTGCTTGGATCCACATGGAAGCAGCAGTCAAGAAATGAAATGACACATTGTAGTAGACAAATCTGCAAAAAAAAAAACAAAAAACTTTAAAGTGTTAAAGAGCCAAGAAATCACTTTGAAGACTGATCTGTGTCAGACCCAAATCATGATATTGTCTATGCATGCAACAAAGTTGGACACTGAATAAGGAAGATTGTAGTAGAATTGATGCATATGAGATTTGTGGTGTTGGCAAAGAATATTGAAATGGGCAGATCTGTCTTGGAAGAAGTTCACCTGGATTGCTTCTTAGAAATGAGGATGGCGAGACTTCTTCTCTTGCAATTTGAACATGTTGTAAGGAGGGAACAGTTCCTGGAGAAAGGACATCATGCTTAATAAAGCGGAGATTCAGTGAAAAAGAGGAAGACTACCAACAAGATCGTTTGATACAATGGCAGCAGCAATGAGCTCAAACACTATGAGGCTAGCAGGACCTGGCAGTGTTTTGTTCTGTTGTACATAGATGGGGTTGCTATGAGTTGGAACCGACTTGAGGACGCTTTACAACAACAGCATCTATTAACTAATTAGCATATCCCCTTTCTGCCACCTTACCAGCCAGAAGACCTTGGACAAGTTATTTGGTCTCTCTGTACCTTTATTTTCTCATCTGTAAGGTAAGGTTTGTAATAAGATCTACTCAAAAGCCTCTTGTAAGGATTGACTGAGTAATTTAAAGCAGTGAGCATAGACGAGTGCCTGGCACATAGAAAGCATTTAATAACCATTAGCTGTCAGCAGTGGCAGCTATAGCAAGAGCAGAAGTAGTTTGATCCAGTAAGTGTATTTAGCCCATGGAAGGCAATCTTATTTCCATGTTCCCAGTGAGAGGAAACAGAAGTCATAGTGTCTTCCTAACCACAACCATCTAAGCTCTGACCCAAGAACAGAGAAAGAACCATTCCAGCCTTGGGAGGACCCAGGGCCAGTGACGTCTGACTTGCTTTTCCTCTTTGCTGTGCTTTCTCAGGTTAATTCCTGACAGAGTGGTTTTAGGGAGGTAGGTTGGCATTCTGGAGTCCTATTTATGATGTGGGTTTGTTCCTGACTTTTTGCAGCGGTAATCTTTTCTCCACAAGTATAGAATCTCCAGGCAGGGGAATGACCTAGCAGAAAGCTAGTGAGTTTCTCAGCCTTGTCAATTTTGTTAAAGATTATTTCCAAACTTTAGTTTTGAATGTACATTTTCAGTGGTGGAAGTGCCCTGCGTATTGCGTCAGTGCTGGCTATGACACAGGTTTCTCTCTTTCCAGTGCTGCTTCAGGTCCTTGGACACAATAAATTGATTTTGTCTTCATCCCAAGCTGATTGATAATCTAAAGTAGGCCTTTGTTTGCCGAAGCTGTATTGATGAGAGAGTCAGAATTACTTTCTTCATCTCCCAGAGCTACTTAAAAAGGAGACAATACTGAGTGGAAGGCACAATACTGTGTCAGGTGGCAATTTGAACGTTTCTAGGCCCTGGAGCTCTGGTAGTGTAGTGGTTATAAATTGGGCTGCTAACCTCAAGGTTGACAGTTCGAAACTACCAGCTGTTCCACGGGAGAAAGATGAGGCTTACTGCTTCCGTAAAGATTTTGCAGCCTTGGAAACCCTGCTATGAGTCGAAACCGATGCCACGGTACTTAACAACAACAACAGCTCTGGTAACATAGTGGTTACGAGTAGGGCTGTGAACTTCAAGGTCAACAGTTTGAAACTGCCAGCCGTTCTGTGTGATAAAGAAGAGGCTTTCTGCTCCTGTAAAGATTTACAGCCTTGGA